AAAAAAATAGACAAGTGTTAACCACAAGTCACATGATGCAGACACCTCAACACCTCACCTCACTCTCTGCAAAATGTCTTTCGCCTTTAAGACACAGTGAAGTTCTTCTAAGGGTTTTCTCATCTCCATCATCAAAAACTGCAATGAGAATGAGAAAAAAAAACTAAAAAACTTTGAAGTATAAATTGCAAGTTTAGTTTACAGAAAATCAATTATAGTGCCTGAGAGGGGTCCAATAAGAGCAACTCAAGGCAGATTTAGTCAGCTATGTCTGTACGTACCCACAGTGTACCAGCTGGCATCTGTGAGTTTGCTGATGACAGCTTCGCTATGTCTACCCTCTGGGCTCTTCACTTCCACTGTTGAGCCAACCTGAGACCAGAGATGCATAACATTATGACTTTTCATGCAATAAACTGTTGTTGCACAAATAGAAAGCAATTTAAACCGTTTTCATTTCGAATTAAACCGTCTACGTGCTACAATATAGAGCACTTTTGCCTTATAATTAAGAGAGTGAACAAGGTGTACAGTTTCTTTAAACAACAACAATCGAGCCCTAACTGTACTTATTCATTTTTACTTAGAATTAACATGTTAAATGCCAATTTAGAGAGAGAGAAAAAAAATTGGCTTTGGCAAGTGAACAAATGAAGTAGTTGCCATTTGGCCAGTTACTGTATTATAACAATACATGATTTTAATCACATTGTAAGGAAAACTGAAACAAGCTCATCTTGTATATAAGGTTTGATTGACAGAATGACGTGCAGTGTTGATCACAAATTATGAAAATTTTGGCCAGTAAGAAACACTTACAGCAAGTTAATTTGGTATTAACAGGCGTGGGAGAAAGTTCAGTTTGAGCATGGCTACAACTGAGCATTATCTTCTTATAAGTGTTGCATGAGTAAGAAATAACCAGACTTTATAACAAGCATTATAGGAAAGTTGATTTGAAGTAACTGCAGAGTCAGTGTCCAAAAAAGTCTCTTACCCTTAAGGGTCCTTTGACTTGGTCATCTTGGACAACTTGTGAGGTGCGGTCTCCTTTAAGCACAACCTGCAAACAAAAACGGTACAAAATATAGAAAGAAGATCACCAAAGCATGATGGTGTGAACAACATGGATAGGAAGACAGTAGCAGTATCGTTCAGTGAAGGTGAAGAAATCTGGTTGTGTAACAGATGTCATGTTCTTCATGATCTCTCTCAAACAAGCTTCTTAGTGAGTGCCTACATGCACTGTCAAGAGCAACTACTTAGAATATCCTTGCAAGAATGTGCAACACAAACGTCAGGCACGTGTTGCTCCATTTTACCCCAGGCTGTCTTGTTTCAGTCGATTAAATACCCAAGAACGGCCACAAACCAAGATCTTAAGAGAGAAAACAAAACATTGATGGCGTAAAAACGAGATTTTGCACAAAAAAAAAAGTAGTGTGGATTAACCTTAAAACAACATACTTATG